GAAGAATTGAGGCAGTTCTGAAGGCAAAAGGGGGTCCAACCCGTTACTAGCGTGGTGTACCTAATAAAGTGGCYGGTGAGTGTATATATATATAAAAGAATTGGATTTCTAAGAACCAGTGGTGGGCACAGCTAACGGAAATGTTAGCTTAACTAACCACTAATCTGCTAAACAGACAAAAAACAAGTGGAAGCTAAGACTGTTGGGACTAACATAAACCTGTTATTAGTTTTCTATTGGTTTAATTTGAAGGTGGGTGGGATCATGTGTGGCAAATCGGCCAATCCAAACCAGAGTTATAGCTCAGTCTAACATACTTCCAGTTTAACCCTTCCATAATAAAAGCGTTTCTTTGATTGAGCTTTTGTTTTTACAAAGACCATTTTAAGTTAGTCAAACAACAATAGCAAATACTTTCCCTACCATAGTTTAAACAGTTTTTTTTGTATTTGTTGTTTAGATGTTGTGAAATGTTATTTCTTTTTGATGCTCTTAGTTTGAAGTTTAGCCGCTAAAGATGCTACATGCTAACACATGTAAGAGGGGATAATTATTATTTATATCAGGGTGAATGGCATAAAAATGAAAGTTGTTTTGTGGACTTTAAATGAGCAGAACCTAATTGGTCCACTAACAGTTTCCAAAGTTTGCAAAAAACAAACAAAAAAAATAAAACATTACCCCTAGTAACCTGCTAAATGAGAATAAAAACATTAGCAGGAAAGCTAGAACAAATGTGTTGAACAAAAATGTTAAATCACCTCAAGGCTGAAGCAAGCCTGATCTTTTTATGGTTTTAGGCAGTGCATTTATCCATTTATTATCATTATATTAAAAATGTCAAATCAAGCAGAAATATATTTGAATGGTGCTTCTTTTTGACGCGGCGCAGTCTGCTAAGCATAAATATGAAACTAAACACACAGCTGAGATAAGCTAACCAAGTAGATTGACCTCATTAGCCTAGCTTAGTTCAAATGTTACAAAGCTCTCCTGTGAGTAAAAGTTACATCAGAATTATAGCTTTACCAACTGGGCTCTGCAAAGGTTGCAGGTTTGATGCAAGTTTCCACTCCTGGTAAACATAAAGCCGAACTGCCTGAACCCTCTGAGTTCTGCTCGTCTAATCTTTAAGGTGTAAAGATCGTTGTCGATCACCACTTCATCAGAGCTTCACTTTCCTGAGAGTTGACTTTATCAGGATGAATTATAGTTGAAATGATCTTTGGTCAAGGAAATGTAAAGTCGTAATCAACAACACCAGCCTGAGTTTTGTTTACATGTAAATGTATTAGTTTAAAATGGGGCCAAAAATGGCCCCAAATGGCTCTGCACRTCCATCCAGCACCCTCCTTGCCCCACTTTATCAAACTACAACTCCATCACCCACAACAAAGGTCCTGCTGTCACCAGAACTGAGCTGCACCCTCCACTATTACTCGATTACAACAACACTGCGCTGTATCAGTTACAGTTTTCACCTTTCACACACATTTCTGTTATTAGTAGAATAAACCTAGGCTGTGGGGCCTAAATGAAAAGTTTTTCCACGCTGTTTAAAATAAATTAATTCACCCTTAAGCCGTTTTTTCCTCAAAAGGCCACATTTATAAAATCACAGACACCTGCATCAGAACATTACTTTGCATTTTATGTCCTTGTGTTGCTCAGATCCCACCTGCGCCTTCCAGAAAGCCCAATTACACAAACAATGACCCAAACCAAAGCAGAGCCTCTGTTTTTTTTTAAAGCTGTCCCTTGTGTGCATCAAGGTTTGTGCTGTGTTTACTAATGACCGCCTACAACTTCACTGGACTGACCAACATACGACTCACAGTTGCTTCATTTACATGCGTTTGCATGGTTTTAAGGAACCCATGAAGGACTCCACAATGAGCTCTGAGTTACAGACGTTAAGCTCCAAAGTTGGACAGCTTGAAGAATCCTCACTAAAACTCCAGCTTAAGGCTGGAACAAATAGCATCTGTGCGACTGAACGAGCACCACTTCGGTCCATCTTTAGCAAAATATTGCGTAATTCAGATTAATTACCCGGCAGACTCCCACTCCATCCCACCCCAGCTGGCTTTTCTGAAGAGGCCCCCTGTAACTGTATGACAGCACATCTCTTTTTGAGGGTGTAATCAAATTAGTTTGGGTGATTATTCAGCCATTTCAGGCATCGCCTTTCCCTTTTCCTTTTTGTCGCTCTCAGCACGAAGAAAAGGCCAATAAAAACTCCATTAGGTTTATGCAAATTTAAGCCGTCGTGCCGAGGGCTGTAATGTGGCACACGGATTACTCCAGGGAACGGAGATGAAGTGTGCGCGCCTGCGTTTGTATCCGAGCTAAGGTGGCGGAGGTGGAGGTGGAGGGGAACGTTGTTGTACAGATGCCACAATAAAAGCCTCTTTCAGCTTGTGTTCYTGGTGGTCCTCACAGCGAGGCATTAATAAAACATTAGTACTGAGTGACTGGGGGCCTCTGCACTCCTCCTGATCCTSCCATGACCTTTCCATTTTACAGCAGCTGTCTGGGGATGCTGCAAGCCCACCAAGGAGTCCCTCTGTGGCCTCTGACCTCTGCAGGTGTATCCTATCAAACAGAGCTGTGCCAAACGCAGATTAGGAAAAGGCACCTTTTGTTTGCTCTAGGAAGATAGGGGAGAAATGAGGAGGAGAGGAAGTCTTAAAAATAGATWGACATCTCTGCGATAGTTTATGGTTACAGCAGGGAATAGAATGTTAACAACTTCTGCCAGGGTTTCATGTTCCATCCTGTTGTCAGCAACTGGGATTTTAGGTAGGATTTTGGAAGATGGTGTCACTTTAAAGTGACTTCTTCTCAGAGGTGTCAAAAGTATGCACATTCATTACTTAAGTAGAAGTATACATACTTGGGTTTAAAAATACTTTTTTGGAAGTAGAAGTATAAAAGTACTGGTTTTAAAACTACTTAMAGTATAAAAGTAAAAGTAATGAACACGTTAAAAAAAGGCCATTATGGATAAAAGCTTAGGCTGTGCCACAGGGTTCTATTGCGCTGTGGTTCCCAAAGTTGGGGTCGGGACCCACAAGTGGGGTCCTGAAAATATTTTTTGATTACACAAAAAAATGACAAGAACGTTTTTTCCTTTGTTTTTACAAAATAATACTTTTAGTGTTCTTAAAATGGACAAAAATAGCGTAATAAATAATGTTACAATGCTCTTGTTTATTTTTTATTTTTACATGAAAACAACGTTTATCAACTGACAACAGGTGGGGGGTGGGGTCTCTGCTGCTGGTAGTTTGTGGGTCAAAAGCTGAAAAGTTTGGGAACCACTGTGTGATGGATGGATGGATGGATGGATGGATGGATGGATGGATGGATGGATGGATGGATGGATGGATGGATCTTCTTCCTAAATCTGAGAGTTGGAAAACACGAACATGGCGTCCGAATGACACCTCGACGACCCTCTACCTAAAAACTTTTCAACGCAGTGGTGTCCAAAGTCAGTCCTCAAGGGCYGGTGTCCTGCATGTTTTAGGTGCTGCCCTGGTTCAACACAGCTGAACCTAAGGAGTGCCTAATTAATAGACCTCTGCAGACCTTGATGGCATACTGAGAAAGCCTACTAATTAAGCACTACTTAAGTTCAGCTGTGCTGAATCAGGGCAGCKCCTAAAACATGCAGGACACGCCACTGCAACGTTTTCATAACCCGCTTCGGTCAAATTGTGTTTAAATTTCCAGTTCTGCATTTGCATTGTCCACAAACATACAATTGACAGAGAAGGCAGTGTTTCCCCTACCATTATACAGGCGGGGCGCGCTGTGTGTTGTACTGAGTGAAATGACTGAAAAGGAACTGTCAAATATATTTATAAACAACACTAAACTGATTCAGATTAACATCAAATAAATCATGTTTTTTAATTAAATGTCTGTTTCC